ATTTAGGCTTCAGGGTTGAAGTTCGACATTTTAGTGGTTGAGGTTCGGGGATTCTGAGGTTCGTGCGGGGTGCTTTTTTGAATGTGTTAGGGTCCGCATGAGTTAGCAAGGAGCTTTCGAGAACCTCTTGGAGACATCGTGAGATTCTTGTTGATGGCTCAGGGGTCGGTCCTTAGGCTGGAACGACTTGGACGACCCCTTGCAAGAGGCGAAGGAGGCCGCGCGGCTGCTGGAGACGCTGCAGGACCTGTGGGTGATATCATGAATTCCTTGACCCTAAACCCGAAGCTCGAGCGCTGTCCGAGTTTGAAAAAGTAGAGCGTAGTCGAGTTCAGCATTTCGATCCTGAACCGTACCTTGCCAGAAGGGATGTTAGGGCGAGGTCTAGAGTCTGAGTGGAGGGCTTCCTGAAGGCGTTGTTGCTTGCACTGCCGCCCCACCTAAACCTCGGATTGTCTTTGCTCCGCCTGTTGCCAGCCCGCCAATAATTCGAGACTGCGCACACGGAGTTGCCACAATGTGCGAGTCGAAACAAACCCCTTTCGCCTCCCGGCATTTCGACTCCTAAATCCAACTGCCTTTTCTTCTGGATTGTGGCTCTCATTGCAGCCCTTGAGCTGGCCCGGTCTGATGTCATTCTCAAGCCTTCTATCCTGAGTTCTTGCGGTCTGAAACAGATACGGTGATGTGATTGGAGGTTGGATCATAAACTTTCGTAAGACAACGGCTGCTTCCCAAGATGCAGACCCTTTCCCTGCTAGCGGCTCCAGGAAATTTGCGTCTTCCTCGACGGCTTCGCCGAGGCTTTCCATGAAAGCCATTCGGGGATTGCAGTAAATTATTCGGTATATACCTTGTTAGCGTTTCTTCTGGTGGCTATACTTGGAACACTTGTACCGAAGCATGGCCAGTGCAACTGCCTGCGGATGGCAGTGCTTGTCATCCTGCTGCATGTTTCAAATCATTACAGACACACTACAGACTGCGCAAGTTCAATCAAGACCCTGAATGCAATCCTTCTCACACATGGGAGGGACAGGGGCTTGCACACCCGAGGCAAATCTCCCATCACCGCCAAAGAAGCCGATGAAACTGAGTCCAATCAGCAGCTGCAATCCGGGTGGTAGGCAGTGTATTGCGTGACTCAAAATTTACTGAGTAGTCCTGTTTCCTGCAACTCAGACGCTTCAGCCTACTTGCAGCTGGACGCCGAGGGCGTAAAGCTTAAACTACCTTCACCCCTAATTCTATAACTTAAACCGTCTTCGTACAAGACGCTACTGCTGTGCCACTCAGACTGCACTTTGCCAACCAATCTCTGCAACTCTGCTTCCAGCCCTTTGTGGGTCTTCGTTCGGCGCAGCAAAGCCTAACGTGGCTCATAGCCGCAAGGCAAAGCACATCTCGGCGGCAGCTGATGAGGCGGCCGGGCAAGAGATCCGGGTCTTTTGGGACAGAACCACTAATGAGCTTAAGTTGGGTGGAGCTTCACCCTCGCTCAGGACTTCCATGTTTCGAAAAGCCCACACAGTAACACCAAAGGCCTCAACATATGTCTGAGTAGGTTCGAGACCCTTTCCCAGACAGTGATAGCACCAGACGCAGATCTCAGGGCCTGGGGTTTACAGTGAAAGCCGCGGAGGTAGCGACACTGGCAACGTGGCGAGCAACCAACCACCTTCAAAGCACTGTCAACAATAATGCTGGACCACAAAATCGCTGTGAACCTCTCCGAGCCCTAGATCCACAGGCAACTTGGGACCCCAGTCCCGTAACCTTGGAATCTTCAGTTTGAGGTCCAAGCGCTGCGCTTAACCATTCTGGACAAGCTGGTGCGGGGCTCTGCCAGCAGCACGAGGTTCGGGGTTATGGCCGCTTCAAAGCGTGTTTAGTGTTCGGGCTTCGGTTGTGGGTTTGATTCTCAGGGTTTAGGGCTTTGAAGCTGGCGTCTGAGGCTTTATCCAGGCTTCGTGGATCCCTCGACAGGCCAGGAGCATCAGGCATTAATAAGTTGGGCACTTTTCTCCGGACTTGCTTCAGCAGCAAATTCTCCACCTTCCCAACCTTGAACCCGAGACTTCCCATCCCGCTGAGATACAAAAACCACTAGCGCGCCACCAAGACCCGGACGGACAGCCTCCGCTTCAGGAATCCATCAGGCGTCGGCTTCAGCAGCCGTTGTCCACATACCTTGAAATTAAAATAAGGCCTATTGTTTGGTACAAGTACTGTAGAATCTGGAGCGAAGGGAAGTTCAAGATCCCGACGCCAGGAAGCCGGCTCTGTAAACAAAAGTCAATGGCTTGAACCCTGGACCTTCTGGCCATCGACGGCAGCAAATCTAAAATCAGAATAGTGCGAAGCGATCTGCTTAAGGCTTCTGTTGATATGAGCCTTGGGTTTCGTCCTATCCTAACCCGAAGCCCTAATCCCGAAACCCAGCCCTAAGCCCAAGACCCGAAACCCCAGGCGTAATACAGAGGCCTTGATAATCACCAAAACTATTTTGGGGGCTCCTTGTGAGAACACTAGGGATTTTGCTGAGGCGGGGTGCTTCGAGGAGAAGGTGCAGTCCTCCTGGCGGAAACTTCGCGCAGAGCCGCGCAGTTTGCAGTTGGATAGAGCGGGTGTAGAAGAGAGCAACACTTCTGGGTTGGACGGGTTGGGGTCCTACAGTTTGGCCATGGAGTAAACTAGTGAGCGGAGACGGAGACAGGAAAGACACTGCACAAGACCACTCACGCTTCGTGACAAAGTATTGTAGTACTTTGTAGTATATACAATTCGTTCTCGTGCTAGGGGTTGGGGAAGCACCCAGCCCTAGACGGCATGACAAACTGCAAATTTCACGAGTGGGTTCTCGCACTTAGTACTTGCCGGCGTTCCATGCGCTGCCACCTAGATGTATTGAACTATGGAGGTCATTGAAGCTTCAGGTTTGGTGAAGTAGGGTGCAGGGCTCGCGGGCTTACAAGACAGGTGCCACCCTGACACCGGAGGCAGGTAGCTGGCAGATCCTGGTTTATGGTCGTGTGCAGTGCTCAGTGTTTACGGCCGTGGAGCTAGGATGGAGTGATGATCCGTTTCACGGCTAGCAGCCGTGCGGAGCAATACAGCAAGGACGAAAGAACAAAGAATTCATCTAAGGCTAGCTAAGAGCCAGGGATTGAACTCTGTGCTGTTGGTGGAAGGTTGCTCTCAAGCCCAGAGCTGTCGGCCCAAACCCTAATTATCCCAAAACCACAATCTCCTTTAAGACAACCCTACTGTCTTAAAGCTTCTAGGCTCTCGGCCTCAAGAAGCCCAAGAGTGATAACTAGTAACAACTGTCGCTCATGTGCCTCCTGTTAGTGTCGATAGCTCCCATGGGGATGAACCTGCCCACGAGGTGAGGACGGCAACGACTGATGAATGTGTTGATGATGGTGGTGGTGACGAAGATGAAGATGAAGATTACAAGGAAGAAGAAGATGATGATGATGATGACGACGGCGATGACGAGGATGGCGATTCAACGACGTTTGCGAAGAGTATGGGAAGGATGACGATGATGATGGCGTTGCTTCTGAAACCGAAGCCGAAGATGATGAGGAGCAAGATGAGGAGGAGGCCAGGCGGCCAGGCACAGGAGTGGCATTTGCAAACAAGCTGTCATCAGTGTTGGCCTTGTCAATGCAGTAAAACTGTGAGGATTAACAATTCAGTTATGATGATGCTTATGAGTATGCTTGTGATGATGCATATTTTTGATTGGAACTGCGAATACCTCTCCCGCAACTGGTTTCATTCAACCCCATGATATACCCCAAAGCCCCACTGCGTCTTCCCAACCCGCCAGCATCTTATAGCTTCGATCTCCGTGTTACACCATTTGACATTATCATCGTAGTCGTCGTTATTAGTCGCTAGATTGAATCACATCGTTGACTTAGGCTCATATATACCTGCCTGGCAACCTCATATTGGCTTAGGCTAGTAGAAGCCAGGTGGCCCAAATCTATGAAGTTTCCATAAACAACAGCAAAATCGCAGACACACTCAGAACCCGTGGACCCAAACCGGAATGCCTCCCACAAGGCCCAGCGTGTTCTCGTGCCTGCTGGCCAGGCACATCCTGCGGAGTAACTGAAGCCCACCTACCTGAAGCTTGAAATCCGGTCACCGCAAGCTCAAAGAATTGAACCTAAGCGCCAAGACCCGGACTGCAAATTCCCACGCCCTACGTCATGTAAGTGAGGGGGTCAAGGACCACGGGTTTAAGCACACGTCGACGGTCAGCATTCAGGATCATGAGGGCTCAGGGATCGAGTTGTGATGGAGTGCGAAGGAACGCGGATGTCCAGGGCATGAGCCATTCATGGAGGCTTGTTCGTGAACAAACGTTAGTCACCTTAGTCAGGATCAGAGGCAAGCCCACCAGGCCTGCAACAGCGAAGCAACATAATCACATTCTTTTCAGCACAAATGCGAGAACATTTTGACAGTTTTCTTGGAAGGACAAAGTCATGTAGATCCATAGAGACCCTACCGAGGGTTGTCGACATCCGAAATCAGAGCAGATGAAGCCGAGAGAAGCTGACCAGAAAGAGGCCAAGATCGCGGATACCTCAAACCCATTACCAAGGCTCACAAGATGCTAAAGCCCGGTTTAAGTAGTTCCCTGGGCGTCCTGATTTAACTAGGTCTGCGAGAATTCGGGTCGTCTGAGTATAGCTGCAGCAAGTGATTTTGACCAAGAGATCCTCATGAATTTAGTTTGATGCCTGAAGCCCGTACTTGGACTTCCCGCGCAGGCCTCTCTCTTCCTTCGCGAGCGCTTTGCGGGAAGTCAACTTTGCGGCGCTCAGCCGGTCGGAGCCTCTCTGTGTTGCGCTCTCCAGGGAAAAGGTGTTGTCCTAAGCGAGTCGGTTTGCCAAACTGGACCTCTTACATGGCTTCATTCTCTGCTCAACGCCTTCCAGGGTCTAGGTTGCAGCATCCCTCCGGAATCGATTTCGACCATGGCCCTGTTCCGAGAGTGTCCGCTGCCCTCGGGTGTTCCAGGAAAGCTCTGGTTGCACTCTATGCCTGGGCGCAACGAAGACTGGGAATCGTTTTCGGAGAGTGCCCGAGTCGCCAAAATTGGCGGCATTGCTTGCATGACCAATCGGGAGGAGATAGCCGACAAATCTCCCAGCTACTCGGAAGCCTTGGCGGGAGCCACGGTTCCTTGCCAGGTGATAGAGTTTGCCATACCGCCAGGCGGCGTGCCCGACGATGTGGGGGCATTTAACCACTTTATCGAAAGCTTGATCAAGATTATCCGTGAAGGGCAAGGTGTCTTAGTGCATTGCACTGGGGGTGTTGGCCGTACCGGCTTCGTGGCCATTTGCTTGCTGCACTCTCTCGGACTGAACCTTGAGGATGCCACGACACGCGTCAAGGAAGCCGGCAGCGGACCCGAGACTGAAGAACAACTGAGATACCTCAGCGAGCACCTCAGGGAGATCAAGCCCTGAGTCGGCAAGACGAGACCTAAACGAACTACGTGTCGAAGGATGTATAGACACCACATCCAGGTCAGTGTCTCCTAAACTGTGGTGCGATGCTGCAAAGCGGACTGCGAGATTGGTTTGAGGATGCTGCAAAGCGGACTGAGAGATTGGTTTGAGGCGGCTCGAACAAATGGTATCGATTTCGCTTTTCAGTTTTTTCGCGAATGTTTGCACTTTTGTCATGCCATTCAGGGTCTGAGGCTTTGCATTGCCCCTTCTCACGGCAGCTCCAAGCGCGTAGACCCTCAGATTTTGCTCGGGGTTCTAGCGTGCTTCAAGTCCGGAGGCCTATGGTCTGAGAGAGGGTTTAGGGTGGCCGTCGTGGTCATGTTCATGGTGGCCGTGGTGGTCGTCGCGGTCGTCGTGTTCGGCGTGGTCGCGGCGAAGTCACCGTCGCAGTCCTGGTCGTGTTGCCGACTTCTTTTTCGTCGTAGTAGTCGTAGTCGTAGTCGTAGTCGTAGTCGTAGGCGTAGTCGTAGTAGTAGTAGTAGTAGTAGTAGTAATAGTAGTGTTAGTGGTAGGAGTAGTAGTAGTAGTAGTAGTAGTAGTAGTAGTGGTGGTAGTAGAAGTAGTGGCAGTCCTAAAACAAGTAGCAAGGACTACGACAAGTAGTAGGTAATGATAGTAGTAGTAGTAGTAGTAGTAGTAGTAGTACTAGTAGGAGTAGGAGTAGTAGTAGTAGTAGTAGTACTAGTACTAGTACTAGTACTAGTAGTAGTAGTAGTAGTACTAGTACTAGTACTAGTACTAGT